TACAATAAAAAAAAAGGAAAAATAGTGAAACAACGTTACCTTTTTCTTTTCAATATACGTTTTTCCTTCATGAAGAGCGCAGTTGCTCCAAAAGCCTGTCCCAACCCGCAAGGCTTCCCTTGCCGCGATAGCCGTACTTTGACATCCCCCCCCGCCCCTCCAGCGCTGTGCAGACAACCGGCGCCAGCGCCTCCACCCGGTCAGGAGGGCCGACGATGAGGAACTGGCCGCTCTTCGCCCCGCCCACTTTGCCCGTCGCCGGGGGGATGCCCCACGCAAACACCGTCACGCAGTCTGGGCACGCCTCCCGTATTCCATCCCGCAGGGGGTTAAAAAAATCCGCATCGACGTCGTCGCGGCGGTACGTCACAATGGCACCGTCACCGCCTCGCGCCACGACGGCCTTCGCCTCGGCGATGAGCTTTTCAAGCTCTGCCTTTCCGAGCTCGAGTGTTAAGTTTTTGAGCCGCTTCTCCATGTCGACGAAGTCTCGTCCCTTGCGCACCGCCTCGGAGAGAAAGTTCTCTGGTCGTACCCCACCCATTTGCTTCATGAGCTCCCTCTCACGAAGGTACATTTCCCCGTAGTGCCTACGCAGGCGATCGCCCGTGATGAAGTAGAGCTTCAGCGTCTCCCCCTTCGTCTCCTGGTGCAGCAGCTTTATCATCTGCAGCTGCCCAAGGTTGTCGACGTGGGTGCCACAGCAGGTGCAACAGTCGATGCCGTCCTCCAGCGTGACGATGCGGACGGGACCTGTGACGTCGGCCGGAATGTTGCGCCACCTCCGCGGCCTGTTTGGCGCGCCCGCCTCCTCCGCCGCCAGCAGCGCCTGCTCATACGCCGCCTTGCTCGGGTAGTTGTCGCAGCGCACACGGACGCCCCTGACGATGGCGTCGTTGCAGAGCTCCTCAATGCGGGCGACCACGGCCGGCGCCAGCTTTTTTCCCGTCGGGAGGACGATGAAGCAGTAAGGGTGGGTGAGGGACCAGGACACGGTGGGCAGCGGGCACTCCGGCAGGCTCTCCACCACGCCCGTCAGGAGGTGCTGGGCGGAGTGGTGCTGCGTGTGGTCGAGGCGGCGGGGCCAGTCCACCCGCACCTCCACCTCCTCCCCCACCTCCAGCGGGCACGGCGTCGAGAGGACGCAGGCCTCGCCGCGGCGCTGCACGTTCCGCACCGGCACCTCCTCCGCGTTGTCGCGAACGATTGTGCCGTAGTCGCAGGGCTGGCCCCCGCCCTCCGGGAAAAGCACAGAGTCGGTGAGGACAACGTCGTAGCTGGGGCTCTTGTCCGTGGAGTTGCCGCCGCCTTTGCCGCCGCCGGACTTCTTCGGGGCAACTGCCTCACAGGACACGATGCGGGCGCGAAGCTCGCGAAGGAAGCAGTTCCTTTGACAGGCGAGCTCCCCCATACGGACATAGGTGGAAACAGCAGACATGCTTTTGCAGCAGCGTGCAGTTACAAGAGTCCCTATAACTTTCCCCTTCGTTTTTTTTTCCTTCCTCCCCCTCTCCCCGTTCTGTTCGCAACTCCCTTTCGCTTCCCCGTCCACGTCTATTACTTTTGTTGTTGTTGTTGTTGTTGTTTTTTGTTGTGTGTGTGCGTGAGCCTTGCTTCCCGCCTTGTTGCTTCACGCACGCCCAGAAAGAGAAGCGAAGGGAAAAGAAGAGAGAGAGAGATGGACAGAAAGAGGCAGCAACAAATTCGTGGCATAACAAGTAGAGACGGCCAGCGAGGACGCCGGCAAGGGCGCAGACAGACGCCCTGCGGCTGCTCATACCTGTGCATGCATAATGTACCTCAATGCTACTACCCCACCCACGTACCGCCACACATCGGGAGAAAGGAAGGAGACACCCCGCAGCCAGTGCGCAGGGAGAGAGACGCCTAGTCCTGCAGTTTTTTCCGCTGCTCCGCCGACTCCTCCGCCTGCGAGAGCATCTTCGTGATTCGCCGCTCCCGCTGCGCCTCAAAGTACTCCTTTCGATGGGCGTTAAACTTCTTGTCCCCGCGTTCGTGGTTTTTGATGAACACCTCGTTAATGCAGGCGCAAAACTGCTCCTTCAGCGGTGCACACATGTTAAACAGCTGCATCACCTTGTTCTTGTCGCGACAGATAAAGTAGTCCTGGATCACGGTGCGACACATCGGGTAGTCGCTAAGCCGCGGGTGGCACGAGATGCCGCGCAGGAAGAAGTTGTCGCTGTACTCGTCACTACGCTTCACGTACGGGTAGTACTCCGCCCGGAGCCGCCAGTACTCAAAGTTGCGCAGCACGTACACGTTTTGCCGCCACGTCTGCCGCGGCGAGATGTACGCATGCACCTTCTCCTCGTGCGCCTTGTCGACGCTCTGCTGGTAGTCGCGCGGAAGCAGTCCATGCCGCACCCGCGAACTCGTCTGATCACTAAACTTGCGCAGCTCCTCAATCGTGTCCTTCGAGAGGTACTCCTGCCGCTTGCGTTCGACCTTCTCTGAGGTGCTTGCGTCCATTGTTTTTTTTTATTCCCTCCGTTATTTCCTATTCTTCTTCTTTGCCTTTGCTCTTTCCTGCGCTCCGGCGCCTGTGCACTGCGGAGGAGGCGTTCGTGGACACACGCACACACACACATGTGCGCGGGTGCAGATGCGGCGCAGACATATTCACGCCGAAGCGGAGCCCAAAAAAAAAAAGTGGATGAATGAATGAGTGGGAGTGGTATATACGCACAAGTATACAAGTAAACATGGTATGATATGTATTGGCCTTCGTCTTGTTTTATTTTTATTTTTGTTGTCGGTTACTCGAAGCGGGATTTCTTTCGTTACTACTTCTTCTTCTTCGTCTTGCGGCTTAGCAGCGGGGGAGGGTGCAGGCGAGAGCCGTGAGTGCCAGCGGGGGCGCCGCCGCCGCACACGGCGCCCCGCCGCAGAGGTAAAACAGCAGGTGGGCCCCCAACTCCCGCGTGGGCTCCGTGCAGCGCGGCAGCACACCGTCGAGCGCGACGGTCGCGCCGGGCGCCGCCGCGTCGGGCACGCGGAGCTCGAAGAGCGACGGCAGCGAGAGACGAAGTTGCGCCGCCGCGTCGTCGCCGCCGGAGGCGGTGCGGGTCTGCAGCAGCGGGTGCCCGCCGCTCGCCAGACTCCAGAGCGGCCGCAGGAAGGCGGCGGCGACGCGGTCCACCGTCGCCGTGTCGGCCTTGCCGCGAAGGGCGAAGAGGAGCCGCGGCACCGCCAGCACCGCCTCGGCGAGAAAACGCAAGCCCTGCCGCGCCGCCGCCGCGGCCTGCGAGGCGAGGAGCACGGCAAGCACGTCAGCCGTCAGCAGCGCAGCATCTCCCCACGGGCCACCGTCTGCGCCGCCGACGGCCCGTATGGCGGCCTGCATCATCGGCGGCGCCAGGAACAAGAGGCGCGGAAGCAGACCCGCCGAAAACCGCACAAATGCCGTCCGAAGCGTTCGTAGTGGACCTAACAGCTGCGTCGCCGTCCCGTTCTCGCCCCCACCGCATGGGTGGCGACCCGACGACGACGGCGGCACACCTTTTGCGGGGCGAAGGGCGGCGGACAAAAAGTCCCGCAGCAACTGACACGCCTCGCTCGCGGCATCCGCCACGGGCAGGCAGGCGTCAGCGATGGCGTTGGCCAGCGCCATGCGTGCCCTGCCGCGGCCGTGACCCCCACCGTGCTCGGCCGCAGCCGCCGCAAGCGTCAGCTCTTGCATCGTGAAGGGCATCTTGACGGTGAAAAGGTGACGGAGGAGTTGCGTGTGCGGCTTCCGCAGCAGCGACTGCGAACGCAGGTACATGGCGAGGCAGGCAAAGGCGCGGGCAATCGCGGTGGCCCGCTGCACACGCTCGGCGTCACGGAAGATGGCGGCCCGCATCTCCATCAACTCCTTCCACTCCATGCCCCACTTCGGGGTGCACTCCTCAAAGAGCTCAAGGATGCGCTGCGGGGCGGCGCCTGTTGCCTCCTCCCCCTGCTCCGCCTGCTGGGTCCCACACAAACCCACGTCAAGGCCCTCGCCACCACCCTCCCATTGCTGCAGCATCGTTTCGAGCATGTCTGGCACTACGTGAATCAACCGCGTCGTGTTCGCGCCGGCGCTCGAGCCACTGGTGCCGTGCAGGAGAACTGCTGAGACGCGACCCACCATCTTTACCCACGCATCGGACTCACGCAGGACGACACGAACGTCGTGCGGGGCGGCCTGCAGGACGAGGTGCAGCAGCTCCACGCCGGAGCGCCGCACGGAGGTCATGGCGTGCGTCAAAGTCACATCCACCACGCGCAGCACCGCCCGGGTCCGGTCCGCGTCACACGCCGCCCCGTCGCTGGCCGGGGTGCTGCGCCGCCACGGCGTGGCGCCGTCGTCGTCGTCTTCCTCCGCCCCATGGCCACCCGGCGACGGGGGGAGGAGGATGGCCTTCAACGTGGCAAGCGCGGCACGGCGAACGTCGCCGTCCGTGTCGGACATCGCGTCCAGAGCACTCGTGAAGGCGGACAAAACCTCAATTGGACTCAACAGCGCCCCAGCGCAGCGGTCAGCCGCGGCAGCAGATGAGGCCCGGGCGGCGGCGGCGGCGCGCAGCGCCTCGTAGTTCGCCGTAATGGCCCTGACGAGTGACATGAAGCCGGCGCCTCGAAACGACTTCTTGTAATGCCGCGTGTTTGAGAGCTGCTCCTTGAAGTCGCGGTGCAGCTTCTCCGCAGACACCGCAACCGGCTGCGGCTGCTGCTCGTCGTGGCGCTGTCGCCCGCGGACCCCCTCCTCGAGGGTAGTGCGAGAAATTGCCGCCGGCGTCGTAACCCGCAGCGTCCGCGCGTGCACCTCCGCGCGGGTCGCCGTGGCGGGCGCAAGTTTCTTCCGTCCCACCTTCTGCCTGCGCGTCTGGAAGGCGTCATCGCCCTTCCGCGCCTTCGCCTTCACCCGCACCATCCGGCGTCCGTCTCCCTTCCTTTCCCTTTTCTTTGCTGTTTTTTGCTTCTCTCCGCACCTTCGCAACGGGGACAGGGGCGAGAGTGGAGCACACGGCACGGCAGAGGTCGGGTGCCCACAGGGGGAGGGGGGCGCGCGGCAAGCCACGCCTTTCCATCCCGTTCCCTTTCCTTGACACACACACAAGCCCCACAAGCTCAAGGAGCAAGGTTCCTCTTTCCGTTATAGGAGAGAAACACACAGTTGAGTTCATGTAGTATATATATATATATATATGTGTGTGTGTGGGTGTGTGTACATATTTGCGTTGCACAGCGTGAGGGGGGCCTGCGTTGCACGCAACACTACCGGGCACTATAGCTCCCGTCGCCGCCATTTCTCCCTCCCCCCAGCACTTTTTCGTTTTGCCTCAGACAGGCTGCTGCCTCGCGGCGACGTACCGACGAACGCATATAAATGGTCGCCTTTGCTGGCGTCCGCTACGCCTTCTTTTGCGGTGCCGCCGCCCTGTTCTTCTCTTCCTCCTCCTCCTTCTGCGCTTCGCTCAGCGGCAGGACGGTGACCACGGGGAGGGGGTACTTCTGCGGTGGGCAGCGGCACACCCTCGGCGGGGCAAACCTCTGCGCGCGTGGGTCGTCGAGCGGAATTACCTCCCCATCCGGCCCCAGCATGCCGATGGCCTTCGGCACTTCATCCTCGTCCGCACCGCCCATCCGCGGGACGCAAAGCAGCAAAAACAAGAAAAGAAAACAGAAACAAAGAATACACACAGGGGCGGCGATGCTCTTCTGCTTCTTCCGCGACGTTGCGGGGGCTTGTGTTCGCCGCGGCCACGCAATGCACCCTAGCGGTGGGGGAAGACAGAGAGAAAGAGAAAGCGAAAGAGAAGGAGGTGGGTGAGGTAGCGGGCGCTTGTGATCCACGGCAGTGCAAAGCCCGCGTGCGGCGCCGGAGCGGAGGAGGGAAGTCAACCACAAGCCCCCTTTCCACCTCCGCTCTCTCTCCGCCCACGGCCTCAGTGATCAGACACTTTTGGCTTGCTCTCTGCTCCTCCGTTTCCTCACTTTTTCTGCGGGGTTCGCCCCGGCTGGCCGCTGGAAACGTTTCCAGCGACCAGCGCTGAGGAACCGACAGCCCACAAATGACGGGGGAGGGGGGAGAGGGAGGAAGAAAGAAAAGGAATACACCAACGTGCAGGGCACGTTAAGTATAGAACCACAGACACACACGCAGTTGAGCACGAAAGGCACGTCTAAAGAAAGATGCGCCGGTATGGTGGCCTCTCCCTTCTATTCCCAGAAAGAGGGAGAGAAAGAAACAGAAACATAGATAGACAGAGACATATATATATATATATATATATATGTATATATGTATAGAGTGCGTCCTAAAAAGAGGGATTCCACTTTGTCTCATTGCGCTCGACCCTCGCCGAACCTCCCCCCTCCCCTTCTCTCCCCCGATTCACAAGCGAGTTCAAAACAAAACCCGTGCGTGGTGTAACTGGGCTCTCGCTATTAAGTCATGGGACGACAGTCTTTGTTCCCTCCCTCACCCCGCAACCGCCGCTCCTCTCCCCGCGTGGAGGGCAGAGTGGGAGGAGAAGAAGAAGGAGGCGAGGGGAGGTTAGTGCGTGGC